GTGTTGAGTATATGAATTTAATTTTGTTAATTACAAACATTTTGGTCTTATTTAAACATATTTGTTAAATTTTATTTTGATGTTATATTGCATTAATGGAAAATAAACAATAAATGAAATATATAATTATGAAGTAATATGCTGAAATATTTTACTAATTGGTTTTTTGAATGCATTTGTGGTAGTTATTATAAGATAATAAATGCAGCAAATATTTATATCGAATGATATCAAATTGTACTAATATAATAAAAATAAATATAGGTGTTATTTTATAATTTAATTACAGTTAAAAATTTGTTTTAATTATATCAAACATGTCAAATACATTATTGTTGTTTACATATTTGTTATTTAAAATCCCCAAAGTATAATTTTGTATGAAAAATATGAAACTAATTGCCATAAAATTCAATTTACAATACAGAAAACATATAATAGTTTATCATATTACATGGAGAGCAAAAAAAAAAAACTAAAATAAATTTAAAATACAATAAAATTACCATAAAATGCAATTATTATTGTTTACCTAAAAACTTAAATAATACCAAGTGAGTGTAGAAAAATTTAATTAACTTCAAAAAATAAGAAAAGAAGGATTAAAGTTTTAGAAATTAAAAGCATTTGTTTTGTTTAATATAGTAAATGAAATTTATTTACCACAACAATTTAGATTTATTATATTTAGTAAACAAACTTTATTTAGCAGAAATTCAATTAAGTTAAAATTTAATTATATGCTACATCAAAGAAAAAATACATGAGAGATGATATTTTAATCAAACTGAAGTGCATGCAGAATGATATTAAAATTTATTTTTTAATACTATTGCTTTTATTATATTATTTCAAAACATATTAAAATGAATTAAGTGTATATAAATTTGTTCTTATATTTATAATGCAAGGAAAAAGGATATCGAGCAACATAACAATGTATTATGTCTCTAATGAATCTATTTAGATTGTTTATTTGTCTATCTATTCTGTCAGTTAACAGGAATATTACTTTCTGAGTTTTGATCTGATTGAATAAAAATTCACTTAGAGACTTTTTAAGAACCCAAGTCCAAATTTAGTGCACAAATGACTAAAAATGGTGGAATATTTTTGATAGTAATCAGATAAAATAAGTGATTTAAATAATGTTAGATTAGATTATATATAAAGAGGGTACCGACTCCTAACGGAGCGGAGCACCGTGACCATAGTTGATCTTTTGTGTTGCTATAGACACTAACCGAACATAAGACATTCCGCCTTTCCAAATGAAAGCTAAAATGTCAGCCGTTGAGTATATCCTAATGTCAGAAAGGGAAAGTAATTCTTGACCCAGTGAGATAATCCTGGCCCAGATCAAAGCTGGACAGTCACAGAGAATGTGACTGAAAATCTCGTCTGCTTCTAAGCAGAGTCGATAAACTATCTCTTCGGAGAGATCTATTTTGTTAAGGTAATAATGTAATCCGTGGTGACCCGTTAAATATCCCATCATCAACCTCAACTCTGTTCTGCTGAGGAAGAATGATTCAAATGATTTATGTTTAAATAGCTTTCATTAAATTAGCTCAAACTTGAAAAGATTTGAAGTAAATCTTTTGTTCAGTTTAATTTAAAGACTAAGTAAAATTTAAACTTTACATTTCTTGTAAGACAGAAAATTAAAATAATTTATCTATTCCAAATCGGAATCTTAAATCTTATATGTTAAGTCAGCAATAAATAAAGTTTTTAAACCTTATATTAGATTTTGAAGCAAAACACATCAAAACATCATCAATATAGACGATAGAACAAAGTGGATGACGTATCGTAATCCTGATGATGACTCTCACGGAGAGTCGAAATATAGAGTATAATAAAAAATATTAAACTTTTAATTATTTAACAAGAAGGAACTTACAGCTAGATGAAAAATATATAAAAAAATATTTTCATAAACAGCTCAAAAAATAAATTAAAAAATTTATTATTTCTTATATTTAATTATACATAAATAATTTTTTGAGACTGCAAGCACCAAGGGTTGAATTCGTACCCTGCCATTTTTAAAACTCAGAGTCAGCGTTCTGACTCTGCGTTCTGACTCAACGTTCGGCAAATTGCAAGCCACATCGAGAACAGATGTAGTGTTGCTATTTTTATTGACAGCCAGGCAGCAATTAAAGCTCTTGAATCCTTTATAACAAAATCAAAAATAGTAAAAGAATGTAGAGAAGCAATCGACGAGCTAAATCGGTTGGCCGATATCACACTCATCTGGGTTCCTGGGCATAGGAACATCGTAGGGAATGAGAAAGCTGATAGTTTAGCCCACTCTGGTGCCTCCCTAGACGCGTCACTGGCGGTACCAGTTTATATTACCCTGGAGACCATCAAAAGAAGTACCTTCCTTTACTTTCTGCAACTCGCCAATAACAGGTAGAAAGCACTTAGGTCATGTGCAACTTTCAGGTTAACGTGGCCCACCTATAATAAAAATAAATCCCTGGAACTGATCAAAAGAGATCGCGTAAACACTGCAAGGCTTATTGCAGTTCTTACTGGTCATTGGTGAATAGGAACTCACGCAGAGAAACTGCGTTTCCCTATAATTCTCACTGCAGAAGTTGTAGAAACCCGCAGGAGAAAGAAACAATAAGACATTTTCTCTGTGAATGCCCAGCTCTAGCATCCAGAAGATATAGGTTCTTAGGAAAATACTTTTGTGATAGTTTATCAGACTGCTCAATGGTGAAGATGAAAGACCTATTAAATTACCTAAATTCAGTGGGATGGATTTAGTCTCTACTCTTCTATACTAGGGTTCTTGCGAGAATGTGGTAACAAAACGGCGAAAAATCGCTAATTGAGGTACATTTGAAGTTATCTTATGACCTGCCACTGCAACCAACCAACCAACCAGC